GAGTTTTGCTGTCAAAGTCTCATTATTTTAGAATTCAAATTTGTATATTCAAAACTCAAGTAAAAATTCAAGTTAGTGTATTTTTAAATTGACAACCATTTCCATTTTTGCTAGGTCAAATATACAAAGGCTGTATTCAAATATACAATACACACAGGCTGTGATTAGAACAGAAGCAGAGACTGGCAACATAACACATTAAAATCTGTCTGTCAGTGAATGTAAAGACTGCTTTCTGCAAAATGTTCTCTCGATTTTCTCAGTGTTGTTCTAATAGTCAGAAGTAGTGGTTTGTTTATTCTTCCCCAGAGCCTATTCATTCATAAAATAGTTTCTTTATAAGGCTACTTCACCTGGTAGTTGATCTACATTGTAAATTTCCTAATTTTGTCTTTTATCTTCTCTTTTTTTCCCTGTAATGTATATTTCTTGTTTTCATTTGGAATTAGTTATCCTTCCAATATTTACTAGATTAGTTATCACATTGCCTTTTTTCTCCTTACACTTTTCCTTCCTGGAGTGTCTACTTTTTTGGTTTTGTGGAATTAAACTGCAGATGAGCTAAGCAGAATTGTTTATGTGTGCACATGTCTGTATGCATGTGCAGTATGTGTGTATATATATATAATTATATATTTTTATATAAAATATGTGTGTATGTGGATAAACTGTACAAATAGGGAAATGTAATTCAGCTTGAATAATGGAAAGCAAGGCAGAATGGTTCCTTATAGATACTCAGGTACATTTTCATAAGCCTTATAAGTTATGTTGGTCAGTTATGTATAATCTTAGTTCACATCTATTTATAATTTTATTTCTATTTTAATTAGAAGGGCTTTTCTCTAAGTCTTTGTAACTGGCTTTCAATTTAAACTAATGATTTTTAATTCTTTTCTTCCTCATCATTAGTTTCATCAGTCATGTATTGCTTATGCTCCATTATTAAATACTTTTCCAGAATCATTCCACTTTCAGCAGTGGTTTTCTCCGTAGGACTGAAGTTGTCCTACCCATGAATAATCAACCTTGTTTTAACAAAGTTACATTTAACAATAAAGTATTGGTTGAAAAACTAAAGAATGTAGAAAGGCTGTACTACTAACAGATCTCACCCATCTTTTATTGCCTGTGTTTCCATAACCAAAGGCAAGTACTTTTTACCTTTTCCACATTGAAATGAGGACACAGCAGATATTTCCTAAATGTTCATTTAGAACAACACAGACAAAGACAAAAAACGACAACGAAAGATGAAGAGAGAAGATGGCTAATCCTGTTTTCAGGAGAAAATTGCAGAGATGGTCCCTGTCTTCTGTGTTTGCTTTTTGAGCAAGCTGTCAGGAATCAATGGGCGCTAAGAGGATAGAGACAGGCTGCCAACGCAGTCAAAAACAGAATGAAAATGGGTTGAACCGATGAAAGAACATAAACTCTTTGTGGCTCCGCCTATGCATGCGTGGCCATCTGTTCCATTAAAAACTAGTTATCAAATCTTTTGGACTTTGTAAAGCACTGACAGTCTCCACCAGGCATATTAGCTGTTATCTTAAAAGAGAGACCTATCTTAAGATTTACAGTAGTTACTGACTTAGTTATTATTTTTTGCTTTTTCAAGTTCTTATAATTCAGACAGTAAAATGCCGCCAGTCATTATATTGCAGTGCTGAGTTAAAATATTTTATATTATCTCATTACAGAGTTGTTCTAAGCATCATTAATTAACTTTATGTTTGTTAGTGGAATATTTCTTCTAACTCAAAACTATTCAAAAAGTGTTGACAGCAAGTGCTTGCTTTCCAAATCACTGCCAGTTCTTCTAGTTATTGATGTTTGTTTGTTTAACATCAATTTGCTAGTTTATTAAAATTACATTTTAAGTATAAAAGGCCAGAGTATCCTCTTCCCTGAGAATCTGCTTGGCCACTTCTTGGGGGACAAAATACTGGACTTGAAAGACAGTTGAGTGCAACAGAGAGCATTGTATGTGTATCCGTGTGTACCTTGGGAGTTACTCGTGCTCAAACAGGCATTGTAATTAATGCTATTAAGCATTTTTGAAAAATATAACAGTTATTTTAACAACTTACTAGTTTAAGATCCCTTTTCAAAGCATTCCCTAATCCATAATGTGGTTTGGAAAAAGGACCAAGTTTCCAAGCCCAAATCCTCAAAATATTTAGGTAGATAAGTCCAGATAAATGTTAGGTAGATTTTAAGGCTTGTGATTAGAGAATTAACTTGTGGTTATGGTGATGTTCAGTTAAAAAAAATACTGAGAGAGCAGCAAAATGGAATAAACTGTTCCTATGTTAGTTCCCTGCATTAAATGCTAAATCTACAAAAAATGTATTGGAAATGTTAAAAAAATGTTTTTTATTTCTTCTGATATGATAATAGTCTTTGTGAATATTCTGATTGCTGTAGTTTTTACGGGCAAGTGTTTCAACAAAAATATTTAAAATGTTAACTTTGTTATCTTGCAATATATTCACTGTAGTCAAAACACTAACGCAATATGAAGAGCAGTTTGTTACAGCAAGATTCAAGAAACGACTATATATGATGGAAAAGTTTAATTACTTTGTCATAGTTCTAAAAATGTATTATAATACTTTCCATTATGTGTCTTCAGTCTTTCCAAGATTTAGAAAGTCCTCTAACTGATCATGAATAGGAAGCTTTTCCAGATGAGCCCTTCAGTCTCTGCGGAACCAGAGTCCCAAAGTCTTTTTTTTCTTTTTTTTTAAAAGCACCTTGTCTTTCTGGCATCTACAGTTGTGAAAGTAAGTCTCCAAATCTTGAAACTAATAGAGCCAGTGAGCTGCAGTATTTTGCCAACTTTTCATACTTTATGAAGCTTCTATAGAATGAGTACTGAGATCTAGGTTTTCTATGAACTAATTTGTATAAGTTTTTAAATTTCTCAGTTTTTATTTCTGCTGCTCCGAGTCCTTTTCAGTTTCAGAGTGTATTTGGGAAACTGAATAACCAATATGGGCACTTCTTGCTGATATATTTTGAAAAAGATATATATATATTCCTTTAGTGACAGGATTGTTCTCCTTAGTGACAACAAAACAGGTTGAAGTTGCACCATAATTGTTCTATTGTTTCGAGCTTTTCTGTCTTCTTCTGGTGATTTCAGGAACTGTTATGTCTTTTTATGAAATTTTTCTGAACTTCTTTATTCTTTGACACAAAACCCAAGAACCACTATCTGAATGCTTCTGTGTATTGTCCTAAAGATGTTGCATCTACTAAATCACTCTTTAATCCTGACGTTCTTTGTATAGACAGTCTGGAAAGGGGAAAGGAGTATATCTGGAACGATGCAAGATATCTGCTGAGATAGCTCAGAAAATGATGTACCTGAAAGTGACTGTGAATCTCCTATAATGTGTGTATACCTTGATGGATACAGCTTACTCCTTGTAAATTCAAATTCTTAGCATCGAAACATCAAACCACATTATATTATGTGAGAGCTGATTGCAGTATTTTACACTAGCATTATCACTTGTCATGGACCAGTTTTGTCGGAACCAGTTATATGAGCTCGAATGTTAGCAAACCAGCTGTCATATTAGTTGGACTTTCTCTGATAAGGTGTGCAGGGAAGCCCTCCTTGGTTGTCATCTGATATGACTTGGCATCTGCTCAGTGTCGTTTCTGCCACTTCTCTCTTCAGAACTAGAAACTGAATAAACTCTTTGTTTGTTATGTGTTTTATAAAGCACAGTGGGATCTGGATATAATTTTACAGAGGTTTCAGGTGTTGGAATTTGTGAAAAATTCTCGGTTAACAGATTCTGTTGTTTGTTTGTGGTAGAAGTATTGCCGTCACCATTTCAAGGAGATAAAGGTAAAAATCCTTTTACTGAAAATATAGTGGTACGCTTTTTAAGACTGGTACAGTTGGCAGACACGCTATTCTTTCTTATGGCAGGAAGCACATAAAATGGGGAAAGCTGTTTTTTCAGAATAAGTCATCTAATATTACTTCTTTGTTTAAAAACTGAACGTTGTTGAGTTAGGCTGCCGTGTGCCAAGCAGAACTGAGTTGGTTTTGTTGTAATTTTTCAGCATGATTTACTTTCCAAATTATAAACAGCTTTGCCTCTGTGTTAAGCTGACAGTCCACACCAGATTACTCGGATTGTTAAACAGTAAGGGAATATCCAGATTTTTTAAAAAAATTATTGATATTATAGATTTATGCAAAGAGGGCCTAACCCACAGATGTGGTGAGAGGTCGCAAGACTCTTGTGATGACAGAAAGCTGTACCTATGAACTTATTTCCTTTACTACATAACAGAAATGAGTATTTAATAACTGCACCACAGATATTAAAGTTCTTGATTAATTATAATATTTTCTCCCCTTCCTAAAGCATGTAATGCCTCATTAAACTTAGTCACATAATATTAAAATAAATAAAAGAAATCTTTATCTGTTCGGCCTCTCACTGACAGCTGGCATTTCAGAATTCCATTTTTAAGTTATTGCTACTGGCAGCAGCAGCTTAATTTTTGAAATGACTGTGTGCAACTTCTTTTTTCACAGTTGTGCTTTACTGATTTAGGCCGGATCCTGTAGATATTTACAGATGTGCCTACTTTATGTACCTGAGTAATTCTGTGGAATTTGATTGCTCTGCTCAAATGGGTAAAGCTAAGCTATGATCGGGGCTTGAAAGCTAAACCCTGAGCTGGTCAGAGTGTTTTCATATTCATTCCTTTCAGAAGAGTGATCCCTGCTTTCAGCAGCCACCTTTTCCCCCCACTCCCAAACTGGCCTTTCATTTTTCTTCAGAGTACTTCGCTGTGTAGTATATGTGGAAGGATAGGTAAGCAGTAGGTATAATGTAACGGCTTGCATTTCTTGTTTCAGGACCCAGTTAAGTTTGATCAAACACAGGGAATCGTTAATAAAACCACAACCAACAGGTAGGAAGGATTTTTCATGCAGTATATAAACCTCTGTGTTTTCCTTTTAGCCAACCAACGGGATCTTCATGAGTGCATTTCTCATTGTTTTACCTCTGGAGTCCATGGCTCACGGGCTTTTCCATGAGCTGGGAAACTGTTTGGGAGGAACGTGTGTTGGGTATGCGGTTGTGATTCCCACCAACTTTTGCAGGTACAGTTAACATGTATTTCAACTTCATAGTAGTATGAGTGAACCGATACCCAGTAGAAGCAATGCAGTGCTGTTACTTGCATTTTCCAATAATTAAATACCAATTTAAATAATTGGCCAATTTTGAATAACCCTTTTCCTTTCCCTTGCCTTTCAAAACAAGTGTTCTGAGTGACTGTAACTCCACCATTTTATATGCATTTGATTTGCTTTTTAAAAGCCAATAAATACTTTAGGCATCAAACATGCATAGGGAAATTCTGCAGTCCTTATCTCATGCAAGGCAGGATTGGTGCACTTGGTTCAGTGCAGATATTTTATACGAGGAGATTTAATAAGCTAACAGATCAATCACAGTTCAAAGTTGTTTTGAACAGGATTAATTGAAATGGTGTTTACATTTAAAGTACATTGAAGTTAGGTTTGCTATTGGATTGCATACCAATTTTTTGTACTGTGAGTTTGCAGCAGACTTTTTTCCAATAGAAATGTTTCCATATGAAAAATGTTTGGGGGGATTCTGTACTATTATTGCTTGCTCATTTGTATGGCTTTCTTATAAGCTTTAAATTTGAAAAATGCAATTTTAGTCATATAATTTGAATGGTACAAAGGAACCTTTTTTTTTTCTGTAAAAGGTGTGAAAAAACTATGGAAGTTATCTGTTTGAGTTACTAGAGGAATGGGGTGATATGTTGAAATGAGAGGCTTAAAAATAGAACTACCCAATTTATGAAAACTTCCCAGCTTGCTGTGTATGTGATGGATTCAATGGATAGGGAAAAGTTTAAGGGGCAAAAGAAACTGAAGATGCTGATCTTAGGTTGTTGTATGCAAGTAGTGTGAAATACTGTAAAAACAATTTTTTGAGCTTTTGAGTGGGCCCTTAGCTGCCCACTCTCTTAACAATAATTGACTCATTGGATTTTTTTTTATTTAGGGATTAAAAAAATTACATTGCAGTAGAAATAATATTTTTCTCTTATTTCCGTGGCAGTAATGTAATTCTTTCATTGTATTATGTTATTCTGCCTGTGGCAGTTTCCTTTGATTTCTCAGTGGATGAGATACTCTGGAGAAGTTGTTTAGGGCCTGGCAGAGTTGCATTTTCTTAGTAACAAAGCTTGATTGTTTTGATAGTGGGCCCAGTCTTTACTTGCTGAGATAAACTGTGATGATAATGTATTAAATATAATTGTTGTAGTGGAACATAAACCTTTGTGAAGGCACTAAACAGCTGAGGAGATGCAAAATTTTAATTAACTAGACCAAAAAAGAAACCAGATTAAACTTTCCTTTATGCATTTTGTCTGCAAGTCTATATGTGTATATATATAAGAAATTGTATTTTATATTAGCAGAGTAAGGTCATCTCCATATTTTCGCCCACAAAATCTGTGCCTCTCTGTAGTCAAGCATGAATCAAATGGATTTGATACAGCTCTCTGTTAGGCTCCTTATCATTAGCATTACTGCATTGATTGAAAAGTGATGAACGCTGTTCTTTTTCTGAGAATACATCATGAAGAGGGTGTCATGATTAACGAATAGTTACGAAGACTTCAGAAAAGAAAAGAACCAGACATACATGCATTTTGGAATCAAGGGGCTTTTATATGTGTGTGTGTGTGTGTGTATATTTGTATGTATATGTGTGTATGTGTGTAGGTATGTACACATACATAAGTAGTTTGTTCCAGGTCCAGTTCATAATTTTCTTAGCACTTTTTTTTTCTAAGCTGTGAATACCATTATGTGAAACCTATTTGTTATGCTGAAAGATCAGCATTTGAACAGCACACACAAGTGAGAATTACTGTATTTGCATAAGTAACTACCATATTGAATAAAGAATATTTTGGAACTGAGATATATGAATTTAAAATATCTAATTAAAATGTTTACTTGGTTTACTCTTGGTCTGTCATTGAAGACTAGTTTGCATGATCATTAGTGCAGACCAGCTCTCATTCTGCCTGTACTGCTTCCCAATTGTGTGTGAACAAGTGCCTCTCTGAAGGCAGCGCTCTCAGTGGGACTTAATGAAATAGCTGAAGCCCAGCATGTTCACATCACAGCTTGTCTTCACTCAGCAGGCTTAGAGCGCAGGCAAAGCAAGTTCAAGTCTATAGACACACACACAGATCAAAAGCTGCAAGGATAGCACAGGGTTGAGTGAAGACCACACTTTGGATTTTAAAAGCATGAAAGAAGGAAGGGGGAGATATTTGGCCCTCACTCAAATACAGTATTTTGCTTTGTTTATAAACTGTACATTTCAAGCAAATTTGAATTTAGCGTAGTACCTCTTCACAGTGGAGAAAACATGCCACAGAAAAAGAAAATTCACCTATTACTATCAGTCAACTAAACATGAAATCATAATAATAAATCATAATAACTGTTTTTCTTCTTTTTAGTCCTGATGGCCACCCAACTCTTCTTCCACCTGAGCATGTGCAAGAGTTAAATCTGAGGTCTACAGGCATGCTTAATGCCATCCAAAGATTTTTTGCATATCACATGATTGAGACATATGGTTGTGACTACTCTACAAGTGGACTGTCCTTTGATACCCTTCACTCCAAGATCAAATCTTTTCTTGAACTTCGGACTGCAGATGGACCCAGACATGATACCTATATTTTATATTACAGTGGTCACTCACATGGCACTGGTGAATGGGCACTAGCAGGTAATTGTTGTTTGACATTTTTGTTGATAGTTTTGGCATTGATAGATTTTCCAAGTCAGTGAATTTTTTCTCATAGAAATCGTACCGTATTGTGATACTTCAAAGTTTTGATCTCATTTATTATCTGACAGTCCAGAATGTCACAGAACCACAAGGCTCTGGAGAACAGGTTCATACGGGCTCCTGGCAGGGAAGGAAAAGAGGAATAGGTAATATACAGAGCCAGACTGTTAAGAGATTCAGGGGCTGGAAGGAGTCATCAAATTAGGTAGGCTGAATACTAGTGGAACTAGTGGAGAGAATGAGGAAATGCAGTAGACCTCTTTTGTATGCAATTAACTTGATGTGAAGAAGCAGCTCATTCCTTAGCCTTCCTCTGTATGGCAGTCAGGTTCGTTACGGTATGAAAGATATGTGATTTTTAGCATTTAGTCACTCTGACAAAAATCCATTTTGCAGGTAACTGTTTTTACAGTTGTTCTCACAATGCTGCAAGTATTTTTGATCCCAAATGTGTGCTTACAATTTTAAAGATGTTTTCTTATTATCCTTACAATTCAACAAGTTAACTCTAAAGCATACTTTTTTTTTTGGAAAAGTTACGTGGAAATGATACCTTCCTGTTCTAAAGACAGGCTTCTCCTATATTTTGAGAAATATTTGCTCATTGTAAGGGCTTACTATAATATCCTCTTATTCCTTACGTTACATGGTAGATCCAGCACACTTGACCTTTGAGCAACTTGTATAGCTTTCTGTGTCACCGTGTCACCTAGGTTATCTGTGAAGGGCTGCATGGGTGTCTTTAAGATGTGCTGTGTATTTTGTACAAGATGGAAGTAATAGAAGAAACAGGAAGCGGGTATACAATCCACATTAGGAAAGCAGGCCTTCAAACACAGCAACCCTTGGATCATGAAAAGAACTACGGTTTGCTGACATCCTAGAGTTTGGGAGTCATTTCGGGTACAGCATAGCCTCAAGACTGCAAACCCCTATAGTAAAGGGCTGGTTTAATGCTGTTTTATGTGCTTAGCATAGGCTTCACTGTTGCTCCCATTCCTGTTCCATTTTTGATCTCTGTAATCTGCAGTTCTACCTCAACTGTATAAGAATTTTTCTTTGGTAAATCTGTGGAACCTTTTGAATCCTTGGTAGGTGTAGGCTTACTCTCTTGCCAATATGGAACTGGGCTTCTGAGGTTGCTGCGTGCAAAAAATGAATCTTTTAGTAAGTACACTGATAATTTGCAACTTTTTCCCTCTTCCTGGAACAGAACTGCACTTCATAGTTTGCACTCTACCTGTGAGTTCCTGGCCGTGTGTCAGTAGTGTCTCTCTAGGCACGTGCTCTTGAACAGTGCAGACAGATTTGAACTTTGCTGGTCACGCTGAGCTGTTCAGATGCATGCAGGTCAGTTTTGATCGGGAGGCTATATAGCTGTTTTAGGCAATTCGTTGCCTGAGCTATAACATCTGCTGAAGGGCAGTGCATATTATTTCTCACAGACTTCACCTGTACTAATAAAAAAAAATAGCCACAGCCGTTCTCTGAGCTTAACACAAGTGATGTAACATAGTGTATGCCAGGATGACTGAATAACCTCTCTGAGAACAGGGTGGTCCTGTTCTCAGGAGCAGCTACTGCCCTGTGCGGTTGCTGAGTTGCCCATGCACTGCATGGAGCAGGATTACAGCAAAGCCTGCAGCAGAGGCATGGTTAGTTTACTAGGATACATGTAGGCAAATGTTCCTGCGCAAAAGTGATTAGACAGCCTCCAGATCGGACCTGGCTTATATCTGGTGAGCTTGGAGTGTGACAGAGAAGCCCAGGTCTCTGTGTACCTGTTCAGGTAGATATTTCCCAAATTAAACTCTGTTTTCACTTTAGGATGAGGGCCAAGGTAACAATTACAACAAAAAGAAAGCTGTTATGGTAAGAAAGAGATACAATGTGTAAATGCAATGGTTTTCAGCTTTCTCACAAAATTCCTTTTCGGTTCTTCATCCAAGCACATCTTCACTTCTACTTGGAGATAATGTATAGTCACATAAAGGAAAGGAACAAGCAGTTGGTGCTTGCCGAGAAGCCTTTCTATGATTAGTTTCCTGTTGCGAGAATTAGATAAATCATGGAGTGTAACTTGATACTCTTTCCAGATAGTGCTGCTCCTGAATGTAACTAGAATAATAAACTGAAAAGATGAAGGATATTGGATTATATAATTGTACCTCGTGAGTTGGACAGTGGTGTTTTGTGACAGATGGAACGCTTGGTCATTAGCTCCTGTAATCTGTACCATCCTCTGACCTCTGGAGAGGATTGAGAGAGATTGAAACAGTGAAGTGTAGCATTCAGATATAATAAAAAAGCAGCATCTGACTGAGGGTTTATGCAGGGATACAGCACAGCAGTAGCTGTGTAGTCTTTGCATTGTAATGACATCTTTTAAAGGAGGCTTACTGTATTTATTAGTTCACTAATGATGTTTCTTCATTGTTGGAAGCTGGATGTAACACAGTGGTGTATAAAATAAACTTCTAACTAGTCATGCATAAAGTATGAGCAGTCAAACAACCTGGGAGGTCATGTTCTCTAAGTGAATGCAAAGGCAGGAGCTGGGGTAATGAAGCTTTGTCTCTGTTGCTGAAACTGTCAGCTTAACTGCCTGTGAAACGTGCCAGAGAATCAGATGTGGCCAGAGATGCACAGATCTCTTGCACAGCTTGGTGCCTAAATCTTGTGTTGGCTGATTATTCCATGCGTTTGAGCTTGCTCGGGTTAGAAGTTGAGTATGTATGCGTATGAAAAATAAAATGGTTTTCTTTAGACAGTTCTGTCTAATACTATTTTTAAATCAATCGGTCACCTGCACCCATGCATAGTTATGCTAAAATGAAGTTTATTTATAAGCATTTAAAATTGAAAAAAGTAAAGACATTTGTACAGCTAATTTACACAGAAGGGAAATTGGCTTCTGTACAAGTCCCTGTTGTAGATGCACTGAACTGCAGCAACGTGGGGATAATGTACTAAGATAAGTCATTACTGTAGTTTTTTTTTTTTAATTTCCTTTTATACTAAATTTTCTAGGTCTGTACTTGTTTTGGAGATGGTTGTAGCTCTGTAATTTTGCTCTTACTTTAATTGCAGTAGCATGCTCAGAGTTTTAACTCCATGTTATTAGTTTGATGCACTTTCTTGTCACATCTTGTAGAAGTAAATCTGAGTTCTGAAATGTGCAGCTATTCTATTTTATTTGCAGCCACTTGAAATTCACTTCTGCAACTTATATTTCTACTAGCAAGATTTTAAACATTGATAAATGCTATATTTCACAAAGAAAATTGTTATGGAATTAAAATGCAGTCAAAGTAAAAAAAAAAAAAAAATCACATTTTTCTACCTCTCTTGCTAAAGTCTCCTTAAATTATATAAAAAGTTAACACTTTCAAACGAGAGGGATTTTTTTGGTTTGTTGGTTGGTGTGTTTTTTTTTTTTTAATTCTGTATCATAGCTCCAACCTGGCAACACTTAGGCATATCAGTTTTCACATTAGTAGTCACTGTGGAGCAAATGGAGTTTTATACACTTGTTTGCAAGATGTTTTCCTTAGGCATTCAAATAAGAAGTAGTCAGCTTTTCAAGAGCTGACTGAGATCCTCAAGTATCCATTACACTTAGTGGGCAAAAGGAATCCTAACTGTGGGTAACTTTGTTTAATTACAGGCTGTTCTTTTCAATGATAGTTCGAGCATGAGTTGAGGTAGAATATTAAAACTTGGAAACTCTATTTAGAAGTGTCTGAGCTGATAGGAAATAAATATTGTGGAAAAATTCCTATGGAATCTTTTATTTTAGTGAGTTGTACATTTGTATGAATTTTAATTTTCGTGAAGCTCTGACGACAAACACCTGTGGCTGTAGAGTGAATCACAGTTTCTGGTCAGATTAATTTTTTAAGCTAAAGATGTGGTTGTGCCATAGAAGCTTTTCTCAGTTTGCTTCAAAGCTGTTAGCATGTGTTATGTACATTTAAAAATCCTCTCTCGTCCTTTATTAAGAATTTAATACAGAATAAACTCTAGTTCAGGCTTTCTTCCATGTTTAGCTATTTCTAGACTTCTTCAATAGACTTTAATTTCTTTCACCACAGAAGGAAATTTATATCTCCTTTTTATCCTGGGTGGGTTAATGGCCTTGTCTGTCACTGCAAGTCAGGTGAAATCAGTTCTTATCTCGCTGAAGGTGTTTCTAACACCTACTAGGGGAGAGGCTCAGTTGAAAATGTATGTTCTCTCTACCATAAAGTTGTTAAGGGATTCTTGTAAACTGCAAGAAATCTAGAGATTTCTGTTTCTTCACATTAATCTTAAATATTTCCTTCTTTGGTAGGAGGTGATGCATTACAACTTGACACACTGCTGGAGTGGTGGCGAGAAAAGAACGGCACTTTTTGTTCGCGACTCATCATCGTTTTAGACTGTGAGAACTCCCAGCCTTGGGTTAAAGAAGTAAGAAAAGTGAATGACCAGTATGTTGCTGTGCAAGGAGCAGAAATGGCCAGAGTTGTAGACATTGAGGAAGCAGATCCTCCACAGCTCGGTGATTTCACCAGGCAGTGGGTTGAATACAACTGTAACCCTGACAGTAACATCAGCTGGTCTGAAAAGGGACGTACAGTGAAAGCAGTGTACGGTGTGTCAAAACACTGGAGTGACTACACTTTGCATTTGCCAACAGGAAGCGATATTGCCAAACACTGGATGATATACTTCCCACGTATTACCTACCCATTAGTACATTTGGCAAACTGGTTTTGTGGTCTCAATCTGTTCTGGGTCTGTAAAGCGTGCTTTAGGTGCTTGAAAAGATTAAAAATGAGTTGGTTTCTTCCCACAGTGCTGGACACAGGACAAGGTTTCAAACTTGTCAAATCCTAATTAGGAACCAAAGAGGAACATAAGTGGGAATTCTGGGAACTTTCTCATTTACAGTACAACTTACAACTTTTTATATGACTATTTTCTTTGAATAAATGTGCTACATCAGAAGCTATGCTCACTTTGTTCAGCTCTTTGAGCAGTTACAGAATATGCAACAGTTACAAACTGCAATCTTAAACTATAATATTCAAGTTTTGTTACTGAACTGTATCTAAATATGTAAAAGACTTATTTATATGACCATGCATTTTGGAAACAGTTTGCATGTTCAATATGTGTTACCTAGAAAGCAGCCTTTCAGAATCACCAGTTTGATGAACGTTAGGGCCTGCATATTTGTCATTTATATCCACTGTAAGGTTCAAATACAGGAAAGGAACCAAGCTAATATTCAATTCAATTTATATGCCCTTGAAATTATATGGCAAGGGTATTATAAAATAGCACTGAACCAAAAATTAAAACAGAAAAATGAAGAGCCATTGTAGGTAAGTAGCTACCAAGGATGTTTATTTTTATTTGCTTTCGCATCTGCAGTCCCTGCCTGAATTCTTTACTGCCATCAGTGGGATTTGGTTGGTGAAAGGAACTTTTCTGATGACCCTGTAATGTGCTGTTGCTGCCCACCAGATGGGTTCTTCAAATGCAGTTTTTAAAACATTGTGTTACTTGCAAAATTCAGTATCCTGCAGTGATCTTTTCTTTGTAAATATTCCCAGTAGGTAATTCATCTATGGAATAAAAAGTGTGCTGAGAGTTTTTTTCCTCACCTGTCAGGTGGTTCTGGCTTTTTCAGACGCTTGTTAGTTTGTATTTTGAAAAGCTACCCTGAAGAAAAAAAAAAAAAGGAACTTAACAAAAGAAAATGATCCATAAATAAATAAAAAAGGCGGAAATGCAAGTGTTGCCTTGCTTCCACATTTACCCGAAGTCTTTGCTGTGCCTAAAGGCTTGATCCTGTAAAATGCTGAGTATAGGACTGGTATGGATGCTGTAAAATGCTGAGTATTGGATGAGTTCATTATCTGTTTAAACTAAGAACAAGCACTTTCACTGAAAGACTAAGATTAGTCCTTTAGGACAGGATCGAATCCTGAGCGTTCCTCAACTTTATTCTCCCAGCCACTAGGTCCTAGTCTTAACTCTTCCAGTTACAAAATGTTGGAAGGGACTCTGCAAATCCTATCCCACGTTTCCTTGTTATCAGAGAAGCTGCAGAGCTTTCTAGTCTGTTTGCTGGAGTACTGAAAATCAGGACTTAAACTGCTAAGCTGCTGAGTCAGTCAGTCCACTTTGTGGCATTTTTTCATACATGTGTGCAATCTAGAAGAGCTGGAGTTTACTTTTTTTCTGTTTTCATCAGTATTTTAATAAGAATCTTAGGCTTTAGTGATATTTGTCTAAAATAAACATAACTTACTGACTTATTTTTTTTAATACCTGAAAAGATGTTAGAAGTTCTTTAATGGTTTGCCTTCAAGGACTTTTCTGATTTCATTTTACCTTTTTAGACAACTAAATTAGAGAATCTGCTAATGGTTACAGCTGTTAATAACTCCTGAAAATAAAATGTGCAATTAAATGATGAGGTTTGCAAAAGCCAGAGTAATTTGCACCCACCAACCTCATAATGGTGATTTCATTGGATTTACAAGGAAAGGCCACTAAGTTTCTTCATTACTGTGTAATACACAATTTTATTTAGCAACAACTCCCACATACACACCCTTTGTCTTTCTCCATCCCCTTTCATAAGGTGAAAAGGGGATCAGGATCTGAAAGAGCAAATCAGATATACTACTGCAAATCGGTTCCACTGAGCTATCGCAAAGTAAATGCCTTAGCTGCAACTGTCACAAATTCCAAAGAGGTGGCTGTTCTCCAGTACAATGGAGGGTAATCACACCATCCAACACTAAGTATCCAACTGAAATTCCTAAACTGGGAGCCGAAGTAGGAGTCCTCTTATTTAAATTCCGAAGTCTGAAAGCTAAATCTGAGCTAGTGACCTGAGGCGCTCCACTTCTCATCAACAGAAAGAAAGAGGTGTTTCCAGAGGATGACTCATTTGATCTATTTTAGGTTGAAGTAAGTTGTCCTGTGGTTGTGCCTATTAATTAGTTTTGTTTTGTTTTGCTGAGCAGAAACAGTCTTAGGTGACCAGTTCACATGTGGCTATCTAACTTTCAGATGCCAAAGTTGAAGTAGACAAATCCCTTGCTTCCATTTAAAGATTTTTTTAGAGCACACACTTACATTCCCAGTCATCCTCCAGAGCCTTCCCTGGGTGCATAAGCTCCTTCTTCAAGCACCAAAATTGTACACTTACTTACTTACTTAAAGTTAGGCTGAACAAGTATCCACCCTGTGCCATAAAAGAAGCAGGCCTTCCTCGGTAGAAGTCATTTTTAGCCGTTTCTGGACAGCAAACCTTGGATAGAGAAGAAATCTTGCCTGAAGGAAGGCAGTTGTTTGGTTTGTAAAAATTACTATTTTGATTGCCCTTTTATCAAAAATTCCTCTGATTGCAACACAAACTTTCAACTACAGCACAAAGACAAACTTTACAACACAACGTTCCTTTAAAGCAACAGTGTAATAGCCAGTAGTCACAACATACCATTTGACAGTAAGAAGTTCTTTTTTTTTAATTTTCAAAAAGCTGTGAACACCAACCATAACACTTCCCACTAATTATAATGGTAAAAGCTTATTCCATCTGTGCTACTGCTACATTTTTCATGAACATCATCTGTATATTTTTCTTTTTGTATAATAGGGGCAGTAAGTAAGTAAGTCTGGGATTCCTGACCTAGCCTGGGACAGTGACTAGACTAATGTGGCCAATCCATGCTGCAATTTAGTGATGGAGCCGTTTTTGTTAGAGGCAAAAACAAATGCAATGGTGCTGCTCTTCTGCCTCTGTTTATTAAATGGTTTCCAGCTTACTTATCAAGCCATTGGCTTTTCTCTAGGATAGACTAGGTCTTTAGCAGTTTGTTGAAAATTAAATGAAGCATCAGCTAAATATGTAGCAAAAAGGTTATTGGCCAAGCTAATCATGTGTTTGCAGGGTTTTTTCCCTGTTTTCTCAATTAACACATTCTAGTTTTCTGAATTTCAAATAGTTTTAGCATAAAGTATTCCTCCTTTGTTTTTTTTTTTTTTAAACAGGAAAGCGTGGTGAAAATGCTATTTTAAACTAAAAGATGTGTTTACAACCGTACAAGCTGTGGGGCCTTTTTTTTTTTTTGGACAGAGACTGTCCTTTGTGTTTCAGATCAAAACAAAAACTGGGGTTTAGGATGACAAGTCTCGGGAACTCTATATTAATTCCCCACTTCTGCAGCAACTAGTATCAAAGCAGCCTCCCATGACCCGCATTCCCCCATGAGGACCAGGGTGAAGGCAGCACTCTCAGGGTTCAGGCACTCATGCACTTCTGGGGGGTCACTGCCCAGCCCCAGCTCACACCCACGCACATGCCTTTAGAGAGGACCCAACGGCAGTGAGGAGTTATCCCTCCACTGTTCCCTTTATGAAATAGAGGTGCAAAATTTGAAAGAGTGATATAAATCATATTACAAAGAATGCTACATATGCTATCCTTTATATACAAGTTATTTTTCTTGAGCTGTAACATGCTTAAGAATGAGTTGTGTGGATTGAGAAAGTTAACTTGCCATCTAAACTTTTTTTTAGATTCATGTCTCTAATGTATATTCTAAATTTTGTTTTAAAGATTGTTAAAATGTATACCACAGCAGTAATTTTATGTTGATTTGGTTTCATTTACATGTATAGTCTCAATCTTGCTGAAACATCCAAATGCACTAAGTCCAACAAATGTAAGTATTTAAAAGGCATTCAAATTGCAAATTCACACTAGTGTTTTTCTTTGAATAAGTATAGGGGGAAAAAAGCCATTTGTCTTAATTTTTGCACTACCACAGTTACATATTTGCAATTCATTATTTTTTGTATGTCCTGTGATTGTTGTTTTCTGGCCTTCTGTTAAAGTTTTTCTTAGAAATTATTTCTTCAGCTTTATTAGCTTTCCCTTTATTTTGCAAAGGCATAATTCACACTATGCCAGATGTAAGCAGCTATGTTGCCAGCACCAGACGATGTAACTGGGTTAAAGTTCTTGTCTCTAAATAGTTTGTTGTGGGAGGATTTTTACTGGACACACCGATTTTAGATTTGTAAATAGATTTTTGTGTATTTGTGATATTGCTTAAATATATTTTGCTGTTTTGGATGCTCATTTCCATTTCATGTTTTTGTTTGTGCCTTGATCACTTCCAAAATTTCTGTATTCGCTCTTGAATTATATGGGTTTTTTTCAGTACAGCTTGTTTCAAAGCATTTTTTAGACAGAAATTGCAACAGAGTTCACTGAAAATACATTAAACCACAGATCCTCCTTAACACTTCAGTAGAAATGAGAAATAATAGCTGAAATGATTAACCCAGGAGTCTTTTTATCACCTTGTCAACAAACAAATACAAATGTTCATTGTGCTTTGAGACATTTTATATAGACTTAATTGAAGGCATAAGTATTTGTATTTAGCCAAATTTGTTGTCTTCTCCAGTAAGATCCAACACTAAAGTTAATTGAGGGTTTCTGTCCGAGTTAGATCAAGCCTGGGGGAATGAGCTGGAAGAAAACTTTGACACTGCAGAAGGCTGAAGAAGTCAAACCTGCACATTTGTTCCTCTCAAAAACTACTAGGGAGATTCCTGCAGTAGCTCTTTATGGAACACTCCTAATGTTACTCTTCACACGCTGGGATTAAACTATGCACCTGGCAGTGCATAACCTGAACGAAGACTTCAACAGGCAATGCAAGAGCAGCAGAGCCCCAGCGTGGGATGAGTGGGTGAAAGGCATGTCAGGAGTAATCTGACATCCCACATTGCAGTTAAGGACACTGCACAATTAGCAATGCTCACTTTTACAGCTCTTAAAAGTAACGTGCACTAGCTGTGTACAATAAAGATGTAGTGGCACTTTTTTTTTTTTTTTTAAACAGAAATAATTTACTCCTGACTCAAAGGGCCTTCTAATTCATGACAGAATCTATTACTTTTGCAACTTTTTAATGTCTTTTTTGCAAATCAAATTTCTGTTGGTCACGACTGTACGTTACCCATACCATACTGCCCAAGTTCTCCACAGTCTGACAGCTTACCCCTAACCATTTCTGGAATTAGGAACTGGCATATAAATTATACAACCAACTTTCTATGAAACAAGATAATAGTGGACTGGAACACCACAAGAACTAGAAGATTACAGAAGATACAGGTACTGCTTTGGCAATGTCGCAACAAATCAACTTTGGCTAATCACTGGCACTGCTGGACCCATGTTGTCTTGAATTTGGAGCTAAGCCTAGACAGCAACATAGCTGCACCCTGTGTGCTGTCGCTTGGCTATTGTATATCTCTTGGAAAGAAGCTAGTCAGGTATGTCCCCATCCATGGCACAGGGCTTGCCTTTTCCTCCCCCCCTTAATTTTTTTGGTAGCATAGGAAGTAAAAAACCAACAAATTTAACCAGTGTAATAAAAGCCATATGAACATTCAAATAATGTTTCTCCTTTGGTGCTGTTACATGTTACAGTTGGAAACCAAATATAATCCAAGCACACCCAGTACGGAGTATTTATTTATGCCATTACTCTGGTATAAGTAGAAGTTATTTTAAGCCGCTTTTAGAATTCAATTCTATCTGAAAATATCTCTGTCCGGTTTCCAAAAAGACTTCTGTCAGTTGAAATAGTGTGGCTGTTGGTTAGGAAAGACAACAAAATATAAAAGAATAATACAGTGTTTCACTACACTTGGTTAGGATGCAGGATGAAAAATATGTGGAAGGAAACTAAGGAATGCCAGTAATTTTTTTTTTTTTTTTAACTATCAATTAAACCTGCCCAGCACACAACACACTGTTTCACAAAAACTCCAGCACGCTGTTTGGGAATACAAAGTGCATAAAGGCTTGCTGATAAAGCTACTGCTCTATCCCCTGTACTCAGCTGGGTTTCCATCAGGTCTTGAATAAGTTGCCCACCACTACTGTCAAGTAAAATACACTATTACCCCCATATTAGACTGAAGACTAAGTTGGAGCAAATAAAGGACTTTCATATTACAGAGCTCACCTTTAGCTACTCAGGCCTCAGAATGAGGCACCAACTCATTTGCACAACCAGATGCACTTCTTATGCACTTGTGAAGGGTTAGTCACCTCGCAAGGAGAGTCAAACTGTTCGGGATGCTGAGGAGGAAGCTATACCAAACAACAGTAGGCAGCTGCCTACAACTAATGACATGGACATTTAAAATTATACTCTTTGACAACATTGAATTGTTGCTGCTCTATATAACTTTAAGGTGCATTAAGACTTTGGGGGTTCTTACCTCAGATACCTCTCTGGACTGAGCTAGGGAATTGCCAGTGCTGACCCACGACAGGGCTGAGGCTGGCAGAGACACGGATCAAGCTCTCTTGATTACAGAAAGTTCTGTAGTTAATAGCTGTTGAAATAAATAAACGTGGACCCAATTTTTGCCATCCCACAAACGGAAAGCCAGGATACTGTAAGTTAGTTTGTGCCAGGAGTGTAAAACAGGCAACCTAGCTGCCTTTGCAAATCAAAGAGAACAGCCCAATTCAGAGATTGGCAATAGTCAGAGTAGAAGAAATTTTGCAAAAAGTGTTTGCTTTATAAATTGTGTATAGGGTCCCTAGACACCATAGTGCTGAGTACATTACAAGTGTATAAA